ATTAAAATGTGCTTGAAATTAATGTTGCAGGCCGACATAACTTAGCTATTGGGCTTGTATGTGACATTTCTTGCTATTCAATAAATAAAATGATGCGTTCTTATATGTATTCTCTTTAACCACTACGGATAAACGCGTTTTACAGGGTGCCGTGATTTGTCCCCCGTAAACAATTTTTTTTTTGATTTTTTAATCTCTACACAAAATTTAGTAATCCTAACGCAACTTTTAAAGCACAAAATAAGATCTTAACCGACGATTTACATTTGAGTAACAACATTTCAATTAAACAATTCATTATCATTTTACTAATAGCGTATCACATTAACTACCTTGTAGGTCTAGAATGTGACCAAAACGTCTTCATATTACAACCAAACAGAAATTTAGAACAGTCGAGTATCCACCAACCACAAAGCCACCTTGAATTAGACCTCCAACAAGGTCTGAGAGAAATCCACATCTCGCCGAAATTTTTCATTCAAAGATAAATATTGTGTAAATTGCCTTTTCGTAGCTCCGAAGACGCAATCTAACTCTGGATGAGACACAAAGACTTTAAAAAAGAGACATACGCTGTACCAGGCGAGTGTGAAGTGCAGTTTTCCTCGAGTTTTTCCTTGATATTTATAGGACGACCTCTAGCAAGAATGTCATAATTTCTTTAAAGAGCTTTCTAGGATTCCAAAACTTCATATGACTTTTCTGAAAACATTACCACGAAATTATACAGGGTGCCCATTATGTATGGAATATCGTATACAGCGTAGTGCCTAGCGCGACGCAGCATAGGGATTTCAATAGTAATTTCTTTATAGTCAATTACTAGCTCCTTTCATTATTTTAGAGCAAAAGTCTAAATAGGTTTTTTCAGAGAAAAAATACTGCATGTGTTCATACGGTGTGCGGTCAATTCGCCCCGGAAGACTTGCCCTGGTAAATTCGCCCCCGGAATATTCGCCCCCGGAATATTCGCCCCCGGAATATTCGCCCCAAGGTAAATTCGCTCCTGGAATGTTCGCCGCAAGATAATTCGCCCCCGGAGAATTCGCCCCCAACAAATTGGCTCCCAGAATATTCGCCCCCAACAAATTCTCCTCCGAAACATTCGCTCTGACAAATTCGCCCTTAGGAGATTCGCCGCCGTAGGATTCGCCCCATAACATTTATTAACCATCGGAAGTAATAAGGTTGGTTTGGTAACATATTAAACAAATAACAATTAAACAAAATTCATTTTATGAAGTACTGGCCCTGTTACCTCCGAGGATTAATAAATCTTATGGGGAATCGCCGGGGGCGAATCTTCCAGGAGCGAATTTGTCGGGGGCGAACTTGCCGGGGGCGAATTTTCCAGGGCGAATTTACAATAAATCTGATATGCCTTGAAATTACACCTAAAAACCAGCGATATCGTTTCATTATTTGCCTTTGACTTATATTAAATTTATACTTGTTTATAAATTAATTTATTATAAAATTGTTTATTATGTATTTAACTGAAAAGAATGTAAATTTAAGAACAATTCTTCCTCAAATCAATTTCTTTTTCTTCGATTATGTACTCTGGTTCCGGAAGATGACAAATAAATAATATCTGATGCAGATGCAGCATTACATTCTTTAAAAAAACAATACCCCATGGACGCTTTTTCTTGCGTCGGTTATTTGAAAAGTATAAATTGTCAAAACTCTTGCGTATTTTTTTAACCTTAATAGCTTAGTAAATAGTTGGGTTATAAAGTAGTATCATTCTATATTTATCAATGTTTAGCTTCTTGGTAGATGATTAATGGGGCGGAAGATCTTTCTTTACATATAAACATTTAATGGTCGCTTGGCATAGATAGATTTAAAATCTTCGCTATACGGGTGTTACCATGACCGCATGTAAAAAAAATTAGGTGATGGAGGGGATCAAGACAAGCACTTTCTCCAAATAAACCGAGGGTCTAACGTGTTTCGTTTGGGAGCCATCCTCAAAGAAGGGGTGAAATTTGGGTTTCTTCTTTAATTTTTTTTAAGATGGGTGGTACGTCTTTGAATAGGTTTTCGGGTTTCTGGATTACGCTAAGAGGGTGAACAGGGTCCACGCGTACTTAGGCCTCAAATTCGGGCCCTTTGTACTACCTCTGTGACTAGGGTCGCTCGACCCCTCAACGTCACTCAAGCCATCCCACACGTGAGATGAACCTTAGGACGCTGGAAGGGGAGGCGGCTCTAATCGTAGCCATGTCCGGCCAGGATTCCCCCATTTCGGGTATGCCCTATGCGATTTTGAATTTGTTTTTCCAAGTTCCTACCACTTACTTGGGGGTGCGAAAAAAATTCTGATTTCGACGAAATTTGGTATCTGGGGTTTTTTAACATGAAAATGACGAATATGGAATTAGTTTTTGAAAATTCGAAAAAAAGTTCCACTTCAATTCTTGGCAAGACAACTAAAATGGAGAGAATTCCACGAAATTTGTTATGTACATACTTGATGAGTTAAGAAACAAAATTGGCCTTTGTGAGTGGTCTCCTACAACAAACCGTTTTCAAGATATTCGGTCTTGAAATTTTGGCATCACCAATGGATATAATTTCCCATCACTCTTTGTGAGTCTCCCCTCCGACAATCCGCTCTTGAGATACAAGGAACCGATCGCGATAAAGGGTCCAAAAAGACGAGGCCTATGGTAGAAATTAATTCTTTTCGTTGAAACCTTTCATTAGACTAGCATGAAGGGTAAAACCGAGGGTAAAACCAGTCCCCTCAACCGCCTATTTTGAGAAGGAGAAGAAAGTGCGATCGTTGGTAGAAATCAGTTCCTTTTGTTGAGTCGTTTAATTAGAATACCATGAAAGATAAAATCAATTTCTAACCCCTAACCTTTTACTGGAATACCGTGAAGGGTAGAATGTGTGTTGACCCCTCCCACCTCCACAGAGGTTAACGGAGACTAGTTATGGAGTGTTAAGAGAATCAGACTTTACCTACATAGCAATATTCAATTACAGATCTTGTAAATTTTATGGTAAGTACATCAAATATTTTCACTTCTTTGATAGATCATGTTTAAATGATCTGTAAGCGGCTTTCCAATTTCCGCCGAAGGATACAATCCTTGTTTTAAAATTTTATAATTTGTAAGAATATTACCTGGAATATTACTTAGTTCTTACCTACACAGCAATACCTAATTATTAAATTGCGCAACATTAAATGGTGCATCAAATACGAGATCAAAGATTTTTAATTCCTTGATAGATTATGTTGACGAGACCTACAAGAAACCTTCCCATTGCCACCTAAAAATAGAATCCTTTATTCCTTTCCAGTTTTGAAATGTTTGGAAAAATTCGTTCTTACCTACATAGCAATATTCAATTGTGGGGGTTGTAACTTTTATGGCACTTAACTGATTATTCTCAAGCGATCTATATGCAACCCTCAAATTGGCATCCAAAAATAGAATCCCTACCCATTTTGAAATTCCTTTTTTTAAAGAAAAATCCGTTCTTACCTACCTACTTAGTTATTATAATGAACGTCTTCGTTGCTAGAAGCCAATTCAGGCTCTCAAAGCCTCCACAAGACCTTTGCATACCTACTCTTTAAGATTCTTTATAAACCTTTGATTCTAAACTTTTGGATGCTTTTAGAAATGATTGACTCTTAAAGTTCTATATTTTTCTTAAATGTCCCTAAATGCATTTAAAAGCTCTTATAGCACGTATGAGGTCTTCCTCAAGTTTAGAATATGAATATACTCAGACTATAAAATTCTAAAAGCCGATGGAGGGTTGTGAAGACCTTAAAGTTGTATTAAAAGCCCTTAAAAGCTCTTCTAGACAAGTAGGCTTTTAAGTGGCTTCAATGCACCTAAGACCGTAAATGGCCCTTAAAAAAGGCAAAAGCTGTGTTAGACATTCTAAAGTTTACTGTACAGCCTTCTACAGGAGTTACTCATATAGTTTTTTCTTGGTTATTTTATTTATTGATAAACGGCAGTTTGGATTACGGAATACGGCAGTTCGGATTATATTATAGATATCATTTTACAAATGTGGCGCGTTCGGATTACAAAGTAGTTCGGATTATATGGGGTTCGGGTTTTCCATACATTGCTGGGCTAACTTTAGGTATATCTTAGAAAAGACTACTGAGTAATCAGGTCAAATTTTCGTGAATGTTTATTTATTTCATCAGAACTCAAAACTATACAAAGAAGACATGAATTATTAACCAATTAATGCCGATACCCGGTAGTCCTTTTTAACGTGTACTTCCTGGCGGCAAATACTAGCTGTATTATCATTTTAAGTATATCCCATTGATAGCTGATATAAATTAACAAAAATCACTAGGATTAGTATCACGCTCAAGGAAATATCAGACAAACCGTTTTTTTCTGAATTAAAGAATTGGCCCACTTTGTATTCACATGCTGACCGAGCATTGATTGCATAACGTTTTGGTCGTGTGCCTCTTTGTGAGAAAATCTAAAGGAATTTACAATTTGTGGCGACAATAATGACGATTCACCTTGGTAGGTCCGTTATTTTTCGTATACGAGGGCCCGCAAGTTCGATACTGTGAAAACAATGACCATTATTTATATTCACACAATGCGGTGAATGTGGCCATTGTCATAAAATGTTTGACGCATTGTACGAAACATGACGTTTAAAGGCACTTTCCAGTTCCGCCCCGATACGCCCAAAGATAGTAATCCTAATTGCAAATCAAACACATGCGCCATGATTTTTGAAAATTTGGGTACCGTTTCTTACAATCAACGCTTGATCGAAGCTGTCTGTCGATAATCAAGTTATTAACAAGTCCCAAAAGTTCGAAGATCGTAAACGATATTATAAAATTCATTAGTTTCTAAGATAGACAAATTACATAAATGTCGCTTGTAATTCGTTAATAAAAACGGCGTGACTGGTCCGTTTAGTTAGTGATGTTATCGTATTGCCCGCTAATTTATACACCGTGCTCTTTTGTTTAGTGCTGTGTTTGTCCACAGGGTGCCGACGAAGATGATGGCGCCTCAGTCACTTCGGTAAGTACTTCCATGCATATCTGTATAAGTCGATTGTTGGACTCTTAGATAAATTGAATTTAATTAATTCGAAATTTAATTAAAATGCTCGCTTCTAACTGCGATTCAAATTTATTGAAAATTAATTTTTATACGGCTGACTGACGTTGTATATAAATTTTTTTTCGTGCCGTGAACTTGTTCGGCTACGTTTAACGACATACACGACGTATTGACACGCTAAATTTGCATTTTTTAATTTGCGCTGCCATTCCTTGACATTGATGTTCAGATTCTATGGACTTTAACATGCATAATTGTTTATAATTCTAAGTTTATTTTAAGGACATTGTATTGTTGGCTTTTGTCATAAAGTATATAAATATTCTAATTTATTCTGCAACTGGAATGGTGCCAGTTAAGTACATTGTCATTTTAGTATTTTTTTTTTATTATTTAAATGTGGACATTTCCGTTTTTTTAAATTCCTTGAAATGGAAACTTTTTGACTTGCTTTTATTTTCAAAATATTATTCTACCCTTCGTTATTTATTGCTATAAAACGAATTACAAGAATTATATGACCGCCCCCAATTAATATATGTTTCCTGTCATTAATTAGTGGGAAAGGACGCGATTATAATCCATCCCTAGACGTTTGTTTGGTGACGTAGAAAAAGGCGATAAGTTTTATGTTGTGCAAATCAGATACACGATTTGAATACAACTGATACTCTTATTTAATCAAACTTTGGGCATCTTGGTAATTTGGCGAGGGGTTCGCACTGTTACGCCCTGTGGTAACGAATCAAAGCAAAAACAAAACTTCTCATGAAAAGAAAACCGCTACGAGGGAGGACCGGTATTCTAGGATCTCAAGTGGGGATGTTTTCTCGGGGTGGTTTGTGAGTTTTTGCTACATACCTAGGTCTATTCACTCAAGTTCTTCATATACTTCACTTTCTTTAGATTCGTCTGATCCTTTGAGTACTTTGGATTCTAGAGATCAATCAAATTTTCCTGATTCTTAGAGTTCCTCCTCCCACAAATTTGACTTTTATTGGTCTAGGACTAAAATCTAAGAAATCTGATACGAACCATTTTACTATCGTTTTTGTATGCAATCCTTTTTGTATGCTTTGAGTTTTTTAGATTTTTTCCATGTCTTCATTTTTAAATTTCTTTATTCTCAATAATTCCTCAGACTCTTAGGAGATTCTTGTAGTTGCTTTGGAGATCTGAGTTATAATGGCCGTATTAATTAACCAACTATAAAATCGCACAGAAACGCTGGCCATGAATTTCATTGAATGGTCATAAGGTATTATACTTGAAGGATCCAACCGCAAATAAGAATGAAAATAATACAGTAAAGGAGGCAATCATACTTGACTACTACCATTGTATTTATAGCATTGTATTTATAAACGATACAATGCTACTACTGAGGGTTTCATTGACATAAAATGAGATTCGAGGGGTAGCATATACCCTTCAATCGTAACCAGATTCACACCAAAAGGAAAGCCGGTCCAAAATAAATACCAAACATACTACAACAAGTGTTGCATTTTTCAGAAATTTAGAAGCATTTTTTTTAAAATTTTTTAATCTTATTATCCTTTAGAGCACGCCTAGCCAACCCCAATGATCTTGTGGACCAAAATTCATTATAATCCCGCGGAGCGCATGGCATTATTTTTCGAAAGAAACTTTTTTTGGAATACATATATGCGTACATCCTGTATTACATTGTATTGTGTGTCAGGGTAAGGGATTTTTGTACTGCCCTTACTAGTTTTAGTGTAGTTTTAGTCGATTAAAGGAGCTAATTGCTGCTCTGAGCTTTAAGTTCCCGTATTTCGTGCGGTTTGAGCTTGTCCCCGCCGCTGTAATTTAGCCTTTGCCCTGGCGTTCATCTTCCTGTCCACAATGTTCCTCTCTGCGCCAACCTTATGTAGATTGTATTTAATTTAAGCAGTATATTATGGCCTGTGAACAGCCCTGTAATGGAACTTTGATTTTTCCTGTTAAGGGTGGAAGCTTCCTGAGCTTTCTTTAGCGTGGCCTTAGTAAATATTTTGGCCCGTCGTTGTCCTGGTACCCGCTGCCAGTGATGGATCCTATTCAAACGCCGAGGCAAAGACGACAATGCGCGACGCTGTGCCCATGCCACACGAATCTCCGCCGCAAAACTTACACCTAAAGGTTGCCATTTTAGATAGTGTGTGGTTGGTTGCCTAAATGGCAGCAAACTTCCCATTATCATTACTTTAGTGTGTGATCGTACATATACACCAAAACAATACAGTCATTACAAGCAGACAAGTAAATTGATCTGGAAGGCTTTATTGTGTCATTTGTGAATTAAGGGTACCTAATTAATAAATTAATTTGTAATTTAGAATTGTTTATTAATGAGCGACCTAGAGCTCGTTGAGATTTTGAACTTTCTGTCCGTCCGTCTGTGTACATGATAACTCACGAACGGTTTCGCATATTTCCATTTCTGGTTTTAGTATTTTGGTAATTTTGATCATTTGGACTTTCTGTCCGTCTGTTTGTGTTTGTCACTCGTTGTCCAAATTGTTTTGAACAGTTTATTAACGAACTCCTAAGCGAGTTCATAATTTTGGACTTTCTGTCCGCCAGTTCGTCCGTCCGCGAACGGTTTCGACTTTTCCAATTCTGTTTGCAGTATTATATTTATCATCACTCAAGTAAAAATTGATCAAATTTTCAGTGACCCAGGAGCTTGTTTGCTATATTTACTAGTTTATTTGCCTTTACGTCTTGTTTCAAGCTTCGTTAAAATTTACTTTTATAGAGGGGCGAAAAAATGGTATTTCCAGGTGCTCTGTAGCGGTTATAAATTATTATAAATGAAACAGCAGCAACTTGTTTTTAGAGCATTTTATTTCAAGCCACTTTCTCTTATGGCTCTGGCACCTTATCCAAGAAAAATATCAACTTTCATATTTATTAATATATTTTGATGAAATTTTAAACACAGATACATCTAGTAATGGCGAACATATCTCGGATAGTAAAACTCAGATATGCGCATGCGCAAACTGCGCAATGTAAACTTTCTACAAAAGAACTTATTTTTCTTAAGAAACTGAGTTTACGAGTTCCCCTAGTTCAAGTTCACAGCTTTACCCCCCTGTTCACTTAACAAAAATGTGTTATGAACATTTTTAAATAGTGCTATAATGTTAAATTGTCCTGATCCAATTTTAATTTCAGAATTGAATTTCTTAATCTGAAAAGTCAGTTTTCATTGAATTGAAACTCATGGGTAGTTCGACTCTCAGTCCCCCGGTTTTTTAAGGTACAAATTCCACTATTATTTTGAGTTCTGCTCCATGCATATTGGATTTTGCCGCTCAAATATTCGAAAATAGTGTTACGGTACACGGTAGTTCCCATACTCAACTCTCGGGGGACATCTTGACTCTCAGCCCCCTCCCCTCGCCCCTTCCAAGTTTTTTTACAAATCTAAAATCAGCAATGTTGGTAATTGCTCGATAGTTATCCGATTATGCGGTACAAGTTTTGAAAATAGTCTTACGGTACCCCATATCTCGTGCACTGAAATATCGGTGGTCATATTGACTCTCCACGTTTTTTCAAAGACCTTTATAGGGTTACTTTCTTGTTTGTTTGGGTGGGTGGGTGTGTGTGCGGCTGAGAGTCGAATTGACCCCTGCGTTCCAATTTAAGGACAACTATTCTCTTCAGATCAGCACAAATTAAAATTGGATCAGCACAATTTAGCACAACAGTAGCGCTATGCAAAAATTTTCATTACACACTTTTTTAATTGTGGGGACTAACTTGCTGGAGCTCCACATGCTAATAATCAGGGTCGGACTGAACAGGAGGGATACCGAGAGATTTCCAGGAGGCGTAATTAATTTAAGGCCTAATATTTGTTATTAAAAAGTAAATGGCTATTTTTACAGTAGAAACGCGATTATCTGGAAACGGATTCCCGGCTATTTATTTATCAATGTTTCTTTTGTGTTAAAAGTAAATTTCCGACTAATTTTATGGCACGATAGAATAATGTTAGGCAGTACCTCAATAATCCTTCCAGGATAAAAGACTAATATATGTAAACCCTCGTTAGCCTTCCAAAAAATTAAATTCCTTCACACTGGAACGACGGCACTGCATAGTACGAGTACTTTTCTATTGTAACAATTTTATGTACAAATTGGGGAAGACCATTTTATTCACTGATCACAAGTAGATGGGTTAGCCCTCGGATTATCCAGTTAAAATAATGGAAGAAAATTGCAAAGAATACATGTTGACTTCATTTTTTGTTTTCTCCAAATATTTGGGTTGGAAGAGGATTTGGAGGACTGAGGGTTCACTTAGCCCCCATTTGATTTTTCAAAATAATTTTGAAACCACACAGGCACCAACCTTAGGATTAGTTATGATAGAAACTTGTTCAATAAAAGTATTGTTTTATTTGCCAATTAACTACATGGTAACAGTTGCCTGCTACACGATTTTCCGGAAAAATCCTTATAGGGGGCCCTTCTAAAAGTATTTCCCGGTAGGAATTTACAAACTAGCCCCTGTCCTACTAATAATGAGAGCGCCCAATTGCCCAGGAAGCGAGATTCGTAGGTGGCAATTATTGCGAAATGTCTTGTTGAAAATTATCTTTCGAATTATCCGAGAGCGAATTTTTGGGGTGCGTAATGTCCATTCTGGGAGTGAAATTTGCTGGTGCGAATTGTTCGGGCGAGAATTGCCGGCACACACGTTTTAACGTAATTAACTATGTCTGGATTTTCTGCTGTCGTGATTAGAATTTATCATCATTGATGTGTGAACAGTCTAGTTTGTAATTTTTCTTGTCTAATTTACGTTTTTTTTTCCAAATCACTGAATCCACCATACATTTAAGTTGCACGAGTAAATTACTGATTTTTAGTCACGCCACCTATTTTTTTACTACAAGGGATCAATTATAAATTCAGATCCACTGAATTTAATCACGATATAATTTATAATTATATAAACAAAAGGAATTGCATGTTTCAAGTTCATAATTTGCAGTTCGCATACGGCGTGTATGCAACTTCCGATAATTACTACCTACTTGTTTTATTTTTTTCTAAATTCGCGTCAATCTTTCGGGAAGATCTTTGTAAAAATTTATTAATTATTGTTGCCGTTGGCGTGCGTTTTTTTTTTATCACAATTGTCGTCGGTCGCTGTCTTTAGTCGTGTAAAATATTGTACCATAAATTATTCCCGTTTCGCTTTTTGTCTTACTGGTGCCCACATAAACACCAGCAAGGAGACAATGCGTAGGCCATAAAATCAATGAAATATTGTTACAGTTAGACCCGAAGAAGTGCACCGAATGGCTCGTGACAGCTGCCAAGGGTGATTACCAAGAATTAGCCAAACTAGCCTCGGATGATCCGCGCCTCGTTAAACTTAAGGTAAGTGGGTCAACATTACTCTTTTGAACTGTCACTTTTTTGTCTTATATAAGTAACTGAAACTAATCTCGCTTAGAAAACTGGGACCGTGGCGCCTTACAAATAAGAGAAAATATCTTTACCCCTGCACAGTCTAGACCCTGACTTACAAAAAAAAAAACGATTTGTTCGATTGTCTTAAAAGTGGGCAAGGCCGAAGATGTATCAATTGGGTATATCTATACCTGACTCAGTTAAGCATTTGATAACCATCGGACTTATCCCTTAAAACAATAGAAGCATTTAGTCATGGTGTCTCTCCATTTCTCTTTGTGTAGTTTAAAATTTGGATATGTTTATTTTGTTTTAAATTGTTTGCTATAAACTCGAAGCCGTATATTAATCTGTGCGATTCTCTCGAGAGCAATTCGCAATAATATAAGTCCGATGCTACAGTGTTTTCCATTTTGTTTGCATTGTTACTGGTGATGGAACAAATTAGGAAACTTATAGCGGAATAAAATGGATTGCGCTACATAATGAACGCCACATCCCTTGTATTCACAAGGCAGAAGGTGTTATCAAATATCGGTCATAAAAATCCCCAATACAATATTATAGCATAGCAAGTTTTTGTACGACATTTGCTATTTATTTTAATTTGCACAAATTTCTAAAGGATACTCGAAGATGCAACATACTTTTGCAATTAAAAGGAGTTGAACTTCTTTTTCTATTCGAAAATAAAATTTTGATTTTTCTAAGCAAACTCGAAAATTCTTTAACAAAACTTATTATTGGAGATAATTTGCATTTGAAATGGTTTTTTCTAAAAAACCAAAACAAATGCGATCTAAGTCACCTGTATTAAAATTTTATTTTGACGCTTCAATTTGTTTGTTAAACTTAGGTGAACCTGTCATCGGTTCTCCGAAACGAATCAATAGAATTTAAAAAGCAAAGCAGATTAGTAATCACGATTAAATTGGCTTTCAAATAATGTGCCATTTGCCATAGTTAAAATTTTAGGGGTTAAGCTCCTTACGTAGAGGGGTGAAGACTTGGGTTCGTGATTTGTATTCCAAAAGTTGACCCCCTTGAATACAAAATTGACGTGTTCGAGGATTTTTCGAAATTTCTAAATTTAATACCCTAAAAGCCCTCTGTATACTTCTCGTTGGGCCACTCTGTATATCGTTAACCATTTTACCCAAGTTTGTATTATTTCGAATTGAAACAATCTTGTGGTTTCCAGGTTAAGATGGCCATTCCAATTTGAATATTATAATTATTGTTGCCGTCACTGTCACCTTTAGTTCCACAAAACATGCGATTAAACTAATGGCTGTGGTTCTTGACCTCACTAAAAGTTAGAGACACTCTTTTGTACTTAAAATTAAACAGCATAAAACTCAATCTCAATTTATTACAGCAAATTTCAAAGCATCCCAAACATATTCCAAAAGGTAGTAAAGAAGACAGAATTAAAAAACAAGCAGTAAAATTACAACAAAAAATTGATTAAAGGCTCACTTTTCCTGCACGTATGCAAAGACGACACACAATAAATTAATTTTTTTTTCAAGTTAAGTTGAAATAAATCTTTTGGGTATTTTCTGTTTATATAACTTTACAGTAATATACACATTTAACAAGTATTTTAAGCCATTCCAATTTATAAACAAATACAATTATTAATAGCTTGTAATTAATACGCCGCCTGCTGGCCTTTAATTTATAATTAAGTTAAAACAATTCGGATTAACCGTAGATAAGAAAATTTATGCTCATCCTATAAATCTCTAACAATAAATTAAAAGTTGGGAGAATTACATATATAATTTTTTTATTCACATTATAAACTGATTGTGTAAATATAGAAGGCGTAGATTCTATTTTAGTATGCGGAGAAATACCTCGAGAATAACAAATAGGATCATACATTTTGAATCCTTAAATAACGAGCCCGTGTTATATTTATTACCGGTAGTCAGATATGGTCTGTATTAAATAGATTTTAATTACATTCAATAATATATTATCTTAATTACGAAATGGCCGGTCCGGCCCATTCGTATAGGTGGGCGATTTATTCGTAGCGCTCGCCTGAGATATCGCCTTTTTTTCCGAATAGGGCGGTAAAAAATTTAATTTATTTTATTTGGCCCCTGTGTGTGATTCATTAAGTATATGTGCTTAACGAGCCTTTTTTTGCATTCCGAATTAGCCGCATGTATGACTTGATAATTGTGTACGATATGGCGTTCGTAGTACTGTAATTAACTCTTTACCGATTCGTGAATCTTTAAGTAACCGATATTTACCGGTAGAATAAATTGCTACTTACCTTACCATTGTATAATTAACGAAATTTAAATTTTAATCAATTACAACAACTCATAAATCATTCAGTGCGCTTCGAGCGATTCCAGCGTCGTAAAGTTAACAGTAATAAAATTAATCAGATCTACATTTTTATGGAAGAGTGCAGGATTTTTTACGTTGGATTGATTGCGGGGCGATGGTATCAGCGAAATTAAGATCGATAAAGATAACTGTACAAAAGTGAACAAAACGATCTTTAACGGAGTTGAGCAATCCTTTTTTAACGTTCTTTGTTAGTGACTTTTCTACTATTTTCCAGGTCACACAGTTGAGGTGTGTAGATTTATTCAAAATGAAGTAACAGTTCGAAAAATAACAGGTTGTCAATGTCGCGATCAGTTACTAACAAGGTGGACATTATTATTTGGACGCAAAGGAAAAATTAAAAAATAACTTATAACAACGCCCGCAGTACTTAGCAGCAGAAGTCAAAACGACGGATGTTTCGCGATATTTTCGAACCTGAGTAGACGTACCTCCCCCTCTATAACTTGTAACTAATTCCGTGAAAGTCAATTAAATTTTACTTTGATAAAGTTCCCTTATCAAACATCTGCTAAATAATTCTCGAATAGACGCAATAATTCCTTTACTCACATGTTACTTATCTTCTACGTCTTAAATTACAACAAAAAAAAACAATTAAAACCTACTAAATTATTGAACAATTTTTACAGCAAAAGCGCAACTATAACTAAAATTAAATAAAATTCCACCAGATTTCCCGATCAGACTTTGAATAATGTTAAATACAGGGTGTGTCGCTTGCCATTCCCATAACTTTAACCGAAAGTTACGCTACTTATACGCATTCTTTAGCAACCCGGGAAGGCATACTCTTATTGTCGGCATTATTTCAACCTAAAGGGTCATACCTCCCTGGTTTACATAGCAATAGGTATCATCTGTTGCGTTTCCTCTTTGAATTTATTCATTATTCTCGAACATTAACAAAAGTTTCCCTTATTGTAATTTGTTCATGTGGTATTCTGTGTCTCTTGAGTATAGTTTTTAAATGGTCCCAAAGAAAGAAATCAAATGGGTAAAGACCTCGGTCGTCATTCTGCTCTGCCAGTCCATTTATCAGGATACCGTCTCATTTCATTTCATTTCATTTTTATGACTGATAATACTTATTGTAAGCGTTTCCACGCTATTTATATCACAGATTTACTATCCTTAACGTATGTCAATTATGTTAGTATGCAGGAAATGATGATACCTGAACCTTGCCAACAATGTGCTTAATACCTCCTTTGCAGTTTACGTTCTAATAGTAAAGTAGTATACACATTTCCTTATTATTGTGCATTTTCTTGTTATTCTTCAGGATTATATTTTTTTAATCTGTTCTAAACGAAAATCTTGGGCCGTCAGCAGGGAAGTAGGTATGTTCCAAATGAACACTATGATATTAGTGTCGTTTAGATACGAGGATGTTGGTATTTAGCATTAAGTTGGCTGACCAATGGAACAATTTTGATGTTCTCCTTAATGAAAGAGGTATGGCACAAAATGAGCACAATATTTTGAAGATATAGCAATTGGGGTGCTGATTCAGGGGACAAGGGGTGCTAATTTAATCCATCTGATGTGCAAGGGAGAAGAATCTTCATTTTGTCAAAATTTCTTATAGCTACTTGCATTGTCTAAAATTCTCAAATTTTCTACAGTTCCTTTATATTTCCTAGTTCCTTCATATTGACGGAAAATTTCTTATTCGTAAACATTTCCTAATGTTCTCTAGAATTTTCTCCCTAAATCTCATACGATTCAACATTTTTCACATTATCCCAAAATTTCCTTTATTCCCCGTGAATTTTATCTACCCTTCGTTAATCTCTTTCTATTTCTCAAAAGTTATTTTCTCATGCGAGGAAGAAAAATTTCCACTTCATTGCCCCCATTTCCCTAACGCTTCCTGCTTCCAAGTTCTATACGAAAAAAGTAACAATATAATTCCTATGCGCGGATCCGAGGGAAACGCCTACACTGCCTTATATTGTATAACATTTTCTCAGGTTTTCTTTCTAAACTTTCTTATTCAACATTTCTTTCCTCCTCACAATTTTCTTATATTGTCTTTTCTCAACTCCTTTCCCTAAAATTTCCTTGAAATCCTTCTCTTTCGTCGAATATCTCATGTTATTTTCCCAACGCTGCGTGCATGTTTGTACCAAATGAGATTATACATTTGCATCTTATTTCGTCCATTTCCTCCTATTTTCTTTAATGAACCATGAAACCATCTAGAACAGTTTCCATTTCATTGAATTGCGCCTATTAATATCCACACTGTGCTGCGCTTTTCTTTTTACCTCCTTGCGTGAAGGACAAGAATTTCCTTTATTATTTAAAAATTTCCTCTATTTCCCTACATGTTCCTAATATTTCCTAATTTTTTGAAAAAAAAATTATTTCCATACATTTGTCAACAAATTTTCTATTGCCGCAAGATGTCATATCATATCTATTAACCCAAACTTCTGTACAGTTCTCTTGAATTTACTCAGCTATTTTCCCCTAATATCCTATCCAAAGATTAATTTTGGAATTCCAAAAAATTACCAGCAATAGATTGGTATGTCCTTTCCCTTATCCTCTCAATTCGTACTTCCCCTAGGAGAAAACATATT